ATCTATCTATCTATCTATCTATCTATCTATCTATCTATCTATCTAGCTTATCTATCTATCTATCTATCTATCTATCTATCTATCTAATCTATCTATCTATCTATCTATCTATCTATCTATTTATCTATCTATCTATCTAATCTGTCTGTCTGTTCGCCTGTCCGTCCGTCCGCCTGTCCGACTACAAACCCCAACAACACAATCAGCTATGTTAACTGTGTCTGGACCACACAGCGCACTATGGGGTCAAGGGTAAGTCCAAATACAATATATTTTCCGAACTCTTCTAACGTTGGGGAGCAGCCGTGGTGTAGCAGCAAGGCGCTGGCATGCTGGTCTAATGGTCATAGGTTAAAATAAAATCGATTCAGATAAAAAAAAAAAAAAAGCAACCGCGTGGTCTCGAGGCATGGTGTCCGCCTCCAGTGCTAGAGGTTCCGGGTTCAATCCCCAGTAAGGGCTGGTATTTTTTACGCGGACTTGGACTTTAGTAATTTCTCCTGGTCTCTGGTTAATACGATCGGACGCCCGTGTGCATTGTTGCGTTCGTAAAAAAAATCCCTTGGCAGTTGGGAAAAAAAAAAAAAGTAGCCTATCAGCGTTGCCCTGGGAAAACTTCGAGTTAAAAATCTACCCAAAGTATTTCAGGATCCTCGCCGGTGCTACAGAGCCTGTGCACAGTGCTGAGCTTTTCCGGACTCACAAGAAGAACGGAGCACGTAGAGGTTACTACCCGTGTGCCATGATGTTGATCCGCTGTTTAAACCTCATTACGTAGATTAAACATTAACGTTTTTTAGACTGTTATTTCACTCACACTAGGCAATTTTGCCGCCACCGCTATGAACGGTGTGCTCTCTATAGTACTGTTAGCACCAGCGCAAGGCGGTCTGCTGCCAAAGCTGGAATCGAACCTGGTACCGCGGAATTACGACTGCGTAAGCCGCAGACGTCGACTGCTGAAAAAGTCTGGCCGTGCAGAAGTGAAACAATGGCGTGTGTTTTACAATTGTTCGCCGTCCCCGGCTTGTCGTCGTCGCCGCCACTTCAGCGGATGGCTTTACCTGTCTGTCTGCCTTCTGGACAATTACAATATGAACTTTCCTAAACTAAGCAGGTAATTATCTTAATTGTTGACATCGGCGATCCGTCGCTGAACATGAATTCTGTTCTGTCCGTGTGCGCGACTGCGGCCATCGCTTCAGCTCTTCTATGGTTGGTTTATCAAATTATAATAATTGTACATTAATTATGTGTTCATTCTCACACCCGGTTAGTGTGGCGTTCGTTTGTTGTAATGTTTACAGCTAGTAGTTTTATTTAAACAATAATATCCATTTAAACCCATATGGATTATAATTTGGATATATAGGTATTTTGTTCTGTTTTATTAAATATATTAATATATACAAATTGTTTGGTATGCCATATCACTTATATATTGATTGTGTAAGATTGTATGATGAGTATAGATTGTAGAGTTGTTTTGGTTTGTTATTTACTAAGTAGTAGTTTAAAATACCAGTATCCTGTTTAATCTATCCGGTTTATGATAGAGATTTGTAGTTTTTCCCGCCTGTTATAATTCTGTGTTTTTGAAGTTTGAACAACGGATCATCAATGCACACGGGTATAATTCTGTGTTGAGATATTGTAAGATCTCATAGACTAAATCCCTGTTCTTGTGATGTACTGTACTGTTTGTTGTGTGTTATTTCAATAGCGATAAGAAATAAAAGTGATGTCGTTATGTCGAGAAAATTGACTGTTGGTACACAATAATGAGTCCTTAAATAGAATTACGTTCTTGGATTAAAAAAAAAAAAAAATACGTACAGAATTGTGTTTACAAAACTTGCGTTATAGGTAGGTATGCAGTAGCAGTTAAAGTGGAAGATACTTCATTCAGATTCTACAATTTTACTGCATTGCTATTTGACAGTAAGTCTCTTTCTTACTCCCTTTCTCACCCTTTCCTCCCTTCAGCCTTTTGCCATGATCTCCCACCTCTCGTCTTCTTTCCCCCATTCTTTCTCTTGTTTGCTTTCTTTCATTATCTGCACACCTTTTCTCCCCTTTCTCATGTTGTTTGTTCTACTCTCTTCCCCTTCCTCCCTTCACTCACCCCCCCCCCTCTCTCTCTCACTCACTCACTCTCTCACTGGCACATAGATACTGTGGTAAATTAATTTCAATGAGATTATTTTTCTTAACCGATGATCAGCATCATCATCCTGTTGCATAATTGCCAGAACCTGAGGACTCAGGTTCCTCAAGCAGTTCCACACCTCCCCCCCCCCCCCCCAGCAGTATTTTTTAGGGTATCAAGACCCCATTCAATCATGCATATAAATTTTCTTCAGAAGCGTTTTGTTATGTATTTCTTATTATTTCAAGTATATTATCAAATTTATCTCCCATTCAGCAAATTAATAATAACATTAATAATAATAATATAATAATGTTGAATGGCAAATAAATATAATAATATGTAATACAAAAAATACTTTGAAAGATAATTTATATACATCTGATCCCCATACATAATTACCCCTGGTACTTTATTTTCTGTTGGTGTACTAAGGACCTGAGGGTCCCTCCTCCACACCAACTAATAATTTGCCCATGAATCGTGTAAGAGGTTGGGGGAGGGGGGAGGGCGTGGTTGGAGGGGTAGGGAAGGGGGCACCCTAGGTCCTCCATACATCCTCCTTCCCCCAGCGGGAGGTCTCACACCAAGCTCAGAGCACTTGTAAAGTTGGGGGGGGAGGTGGGGGGGGGGGGACGAATGAGGATCCTGCCTCGCCCAACCTGACAACTTTTCTTCAAGTATATTGTTATAGTTATCTGCCATTCAGCATTATATAAAAATAATAATAACAACAATAATAATAATAGTAATTGTGGAGAAAGGCAAATACAATATGAATAATATACGTATATATAATAATGTACTGCGCAACTCTTTCTCACTTTAATCCAAGTCACCGCGCAAGTCACTCTTTTATCATTGCCTGCTCCACCACTACCTAACTAGCTTACAGCTGGTGGGTACCCTGCAACAGCGGTTGAAACACAAGAATTGGGATGAATGACACCAATCGGGAGGCTGCCTCTCAAGACTGAAATGCAGGGTGTGCAACTCTGCACAAAGGTGCGGCTACATGTGAAGCAAACAGAACAGCAAGACTGATTGAGAAAAGGATGGACAGAAAGGCGACTGCAGGATTCCCCCCCCCCCCCCCCCCCCCCCCGGCACAACACTCAATCCCTGTCCTCACTGTCCAAGCACATTTCGGGCCCTCATCGGCCTCATCAGCCATCTCCGTACTCATACCTGATGAAAAAGAGTGGTCATCATTATCTGGATGGACAACACTCACACACACACAGTAATGTGCTTGAAATAATATGAAATGTTTAAGCAAACACTTTTAAAGAAAATATCTCCCCGGCTCTCTAGCGTAGTTGGTTAAACCTGACATCGCTGTGACCGGGTGACGAACTCATTGTGGTCCGGGTTCACTCCCGGGGGTAGGCAGAAAAGCCACATTTCTCCCAGATTTACGGTATCTATCATGGAATCAAGGCCGAAAGGTTGCGATATCCATAGTACCGAGCCAAAGGGTTAAGAACTCATGGTTTCTGGAAATTAAAAATAAAAAAGACAAAGAAAATATCTATACATTATGAAACTACTGGGGGTGGGATGGTGGGGGAAAGGGGGGGGGGACACAAGGACCTGAATCTTAATATTGTCTTCATGGCGGTGCAGCCACCCTGTTTTGCCACTGATACACCGCACAACACTTTCCTCTATTCTGTTCTATTCATTCCATCACCTTGGACCTCTGCTGTCAACGTTAAGGTTATTTAACAGCACTGTAAACATGAAAACAAAAGCATTAGTTCAGTTACTTCTGGAAACTAACTGAGACAGCTTGATGGTGTCTTGACAAACCACAGTGAAACATGTAGTAGGCAAATGTGCAAGGAGAAGATAAAAGTTAAAGAATGTTGAGTTGAGAATCAACATCATAGCACTCAGGACACTCCCATAAGTGCTCTGTCTCTGTCTTCAGCAGCAAGCGAAGAGTTCCAAGGCAAAAGTTAAAGAATATAAAACATCTCAGCTGACTGTAGTTTAGAATGTATCTTAGTGGTGAGTGACAGCGTGTTCTTGTTAATTTCATGTAGGTTTAACTGGCTGCTTCTTTACTGTGCTCCTTTAACTTTGTCAGTCCCAGAAGTTCATAGCTGATGCCTGATTGAAGCAGTAACAGTGACAACAAAAGCATGGGTATATTGCATCCGCAGGGTCTAAATACACAGTACATTGTGGGTGCCTTGTGCTATTGGGTTGATTTAGTTTGTCTGACTAGACTTGAGATGTTCAAAACATGTTGACTGGTGTAGATGAGTAATGTCCAGTATATATGGTGCATTGTTTGGGACCAAAGAGTTAATAGTTTGGTACTAATCTGAATCTTCCTGCACCAAGCCCAATCATTTCAACTGCATCTGTAAAATCTTCCTCATAGATGTTTCACCACATACTCTGTCAGCTCCTTGCTGACATACAATATATTCCCTTCATTGACTACCTTTTTAATTATGAACACAGACGAAGAAATATGGTAACGTGTGTATGTATGTAAGTTGTACCCCACCAGGAATCACACAAGCGATAAACACCCGGTGACACAAAGTGCCACCATGCGGATGAGGATCACCCTTGGAGGGGTCCCGGAAACCCCACTCAGCCGTTTGGTCATATTTCAGGCCCGGCTCTATTTAGGGCCCCTAACAAAAGCCAGGGTGGGGCTTCAAAATAGCTAAAAATTGCATCCGACAAGGGCATGACGGAGTATATGTTAATGTTTTGTGTGTGTGGTTTTGACTGATGACAGAGACCGAAGTGTATCATCTTCAGCTTGTCACATCTCTGAAGGAAGATCTTCAACAAGCAGTTCAGAAGGGCATCAAGTAACATTTGGAGAATGACAGGTGCAGACAAGTCCAACAGTGACAAGGATACAACCCTACAATACTTTGACTTGGATGGCTCAGCCAGTTTAGGCAGACCCATAGATGTCCCAGTTAAAGGTGAGTAGGCTTGCTTAGAAAACATCACCACTGACTGTTGTGGGGAGGGGGGGGGATAATCCAGCCCACTAACAAACCAGAGGTTAAACTAACCCGTTATAAAAGATATGGACACATTAATAAATGGCTATCCTCCGAATAACGGTCCCAAATTATCAAAGCCTAAAATATACCCTAACCGGGCCTCAGTCACATGTAAATTGCGGACCTCTTTCCAGCGACTACACAGCATACCACGGAAAAGAATCTGCCGAGTTAAAGTCACTGCCGAGTTAAAGTCGCCCCAGAGTTAAAGTCGCCCCCGAGAGTATCTCCCGCCCCGTTACGCGCTGGGCGGAGCTAAACTAGATGGCTGGGATTCATGAGCAGCAGCTACCGCATCTCTTGCAGCTTCCTTCATTTTATTTGCTCGTGAGTCTCAGCCATCTAGTTTAGCCCCATTCCGCGCAGTGCGTAGCGGCGCGGGAGATACTCTCGGTGGTGGCGGTATAGTCACCGGAAATAGGTCCGCAATTTACATGTGACTGAGGCCCTGTTAGGGTATATTTTCGGCCTTGATAATTTGGTACTGTTATTCAGAGGAAAGATTAGTTGCGTATCCTTTACAGGACGTTGCAGAACCAACCCCAACAGCCTCTGGCTGTTGTGTGGTTTTTGTAGGCAAATTTACGTCCAGTAGTTTGCCATTGCTTTCTGGACGGTCGGCTTTCTTGATACCACTGTCAAGACCAACGCAAGGCTCATGGCCCGCAGCTGGGATCGAACCCGGCCTCCTGGCATTACAAAGCGTTCACATCGACTTAGCCACAGAGCCGACAATCAGAGGAAGGCCTAATAAATTATATTCATGCAACACACTTCAACACTGCAGCTGACACATTCATGTCTCATGACAGTTTTTGAAAGCTCTGGTCGTTTGGTGTTGTGTTGGACACCGCCAATGTTTGCACACACTCTGCAGCATGGGTTACCAACTCCTGGTTCATGACCTCAGATGGGGTTGCAAAGGTATTCAACTAAGTTTTCTCAGTGGCCAATATTTTGAAAATGGAGATCGCCATGGGCCAGAGGCCTGTGCCCCAGCGTAGAAAGATCATTAATACAGTGGTTGGCAGCAGTCCGCAGGCCACATGCTGGCCTCTGCAGGCTAGATTTAACCCCATGGGCCGCCAGTTGAATAGCTCTGCTGCAGGGAGGTTGCAGGTTATTTTGGCTTTAAAACATGTGATGAGAAGAAAAAAACTGGAGTCCATCGTGATAGTATGAAAGTTAGAGGGGAGGAGAGGCAGAGGAAGACCAAGAGAAAAGATGCTGGACAGTTTGACATGACATGGAGGATCATCTGAGTTGATTGAAAGTACACGAGACAGAATGTTGTGGATAGATATGACTACCGGCACCACACGGCATGGACTTTGAGAAGAAGAAAATAGGGTCGCAACTCCAAAAAGTTTAGAACTACTGTTCACCAAACATTGTACATTCTTCTTTTGGCAGGGTCAATTCCAGCATGGGTGAAGGGCTCCTTATACAGGAACGGAAGCGGAGTCTACAAGATGGGAGACCTGACATGGAAGCATGCCTTTGATGGGTTCGCCGTGCTTCATCGCTGGACCATCAAGGATGGAAGGGTGACCTATTTGTCTTCAGTTCTCGACTCTGACCATTATAATAAGTGTGTCAAGGTAAACAGACTGACTGGCTACAGCTTTGGCAGTTCATTTCCTGATCCCTGTAAAAATATTTTCAGCAGGTTGGTGATCATTTTTACTGTCTGTCATTAATTGTCACTTTAGGTTGGTGACAGTTGTACTGTTTTTTATTGTCTGTCACTTCAGATTAGTGATAATTATTAATGATTTCATTGTCATTTCATGATGGTGACTGTTGTTACTGTCTCTCAGTGTCTGTCACTTCATGTTGGTGACAATTGTTACTGTCTTTCATTGTCTGTCATTTCGTGTTGGTGATAATTGCTACTGTCTTTCATAGTCTGTCACTTCAGCTTGGTGATAATTGTTACTGTCTTTCATTGCCTGTCACTTCAGATTGGTGATAATTGTTACTCTCTTTCATTGCCTGTCACTTCAGATTGGTAATAATTGTTACTGTCTTTCATTGCCTGTCATTTCAGATTGGTGATAATTGTTACTGTCTTACATTGCCTGTCACTTCAGGTTGGTGATAATTGTTACTCTTTCATTGCCTGTCACTTCAGATTGGTGATAATTGTTACTGTCTTTCATTGTCTGTCACTTATGATTGGTGATAATTGTTACTGTCTTTCATTGTCTGTCACTTTAGCTTGGTGATAATTGTTACTATCCTTCATTGTCTGTCACTTTAGCTTGGTGATATTTGTTACTTTTACAGAAAGAAACAAATTATTAGCCATCATCATCAAGATCATATTAAGTGCATATTGACATGTATGTTACCACGGCAATAACGTACAGTGCACAGCTGGCGGCTCAGTGTTAACTTTACTGCTTGAGATAACAGTAAAAAAACAGCTGGGAATCCTTGAGGATGAACGTGTTAGTTAGTTAATCGACAGATTATCTTCATTGCACATCGGGCAGGTCTTTAAGCGCTCAGATCCTGTATTCAGTATCTCTCCCTGTGTGTGGTGACTGATAACACCTGTTCTGAGTTGGTTTACTATTTTTCTTTGACTACCTTTGTAGTGTTCATGTCTGGCCACACCTTTTGTGACATGAAGTTCTTGTAGTTTTGTTTCCTAGTGTGGGTGCTGGGTCCCATTGTTGAGGAACAAGTTCTTGTAGTTTTGTCTCCCAATGTGGGTGCTGGGTCCCATTGTTGAAGAACAAGTTCTTGTAGTTTTGTCTCCCAATGTGGGTGCTGGGTCCCATTGTTGAGGAACAGGTTCTTGTAGTTTTGTCTCCCAGTGTGGGTGCTGGGTCCCATTGTTGAGGAACAGGTTCTTGTAGTTTTGTCTCCCAATGTGGGTGCTGGGTCCCTTGTTGAGGAACAAGTTCTTGTAGTTTTGTCTCCCAGTGTGGGTGCTGGGTCCCATTGTTGAGGAACAAGTTCTTGTAGTTTTGTCTCCCAGTGTGGGTGCTGGGTCCCATTGTTGAGGAACAGGTTCTTGTAGTTTTGTCTCCCAGTGTGGGTGCTGGGTCCCATTGTTGAGGAACAAGTTCTTGTAGTTTTGTCTCCCAGTGTGGGTGCTGGGTCCCATTGTCGAGGAACAGGCTCTTGTAGTTTTGTCTCCCAGTGTGGGTGCTGGGTCTCATTGTTGAGGAACGAGTTCTTCTAGTTTTGTCTCCCAGTGTGGGTGCTGGGTCCCATTGTTGAGGAACAAGTTTTTGTAGTTTTGTCTCCCAGTGTGGGTGCTGGGTCCCATTGTTGAGGAACAGGTTCTTGTAGTTTTGTCTCCCAATGTGGGTGCTGGGTCTCATTGTTGAGGAACAAGTTCTTGTAGTTTTGTCTCCCAGTGTGGGTGCTGAGTCAAAAGTAAATGATCCCCTTTCCATACCTTTTTGGGCACATTAGACATACAATTCTAGACCTATCGGCACCATGTGGGGAAAATCTGGTCAGCATCGCGCCTGCCAGCTTTATCTGTTACCCATTTGAGGCAGGGTTGACCTGGGAGCCAAGGTCACCTTTGACAAAATGTTAAACTCCGTTCGGATTCGAACATGTGACCTTTAGATCGGCAGGTGAATGTCTAGCTGCCAGAACACGGCAGCTCCAGTGAGTAGAATCAATATGTGGTAATTTGTGAATGATACCATTGCTGGATATAATGAAGTAACACATGTGATGGATTTAGTCATGTCAGACTCTAGTACAAAATGTCTGCATTGCAGTTTCTGGTTAGTCGTAATGGTTTAGTAAAACATTTATAGGTTTTTATGTTCGATTATATGTGAGCGTTTTGATCCACCTCCTAGCTTTAATGAGAATATCTCTCTCTTTCTCTCTTACACACACACAAAGCAGACTCTGTCCTTCTCAGTGCATATCCATCTTTCTCTCTCTGTCTCGTTCCTCCAGCCTTCTCCTCCTCTACATGTTTCTTTGTCTGTCACTACCTCTCTGTGTTTTTCTCTGTCTGTATATTTATTTATTTCTGGTTTCTCTTATTCTTGCTCTGTTTTTTTTTCTCTGCATCTCTCTCTCTGTATTTTACTGTGCCCTCTCTTTCTCACTCTCAGGATTTTTCTCTTTTTTTTTCACTCTCTAGTTTGCTCACTCTTTCTCGCTTTCTAGTTTTTCTTTCTTTTTCCCTCTAATTCTTGATCTCTAGTTTTATCTCTCTTTTTCACTTTCTGGATTTCTCTCTCTTTCTCACTGACTAGTTTGCTTTTGCCTTCTAGTTTTTCTCTCCTTTTCTCACTTTCTGGTTTTTCCTCTCTTTCTCACACTCTGGTTTTCTCTCTCTTTCTCACACTCTGGTTTTCTCTCTCTTTCTTACACTCTGGGTTTTCTTTTGTTGTCTATGTTTATTACTGTCTTTATCATCTCTGTTCACTAACTACTCATCAGCTCTTTCACTGCTGCTCTCTTCTCTCTCTCCATCAGATGATTACAACCTGACATCTGTAAATGACCTGAGCTCCTCACCCCTAACTACCACTCATAAAAAAAATGTCTCTCTCTCAACTCAACATCTTTATCCTCTCTGTTGCCTCATAGGGCTAGTCACCTGTAATCTTTCACTGTCTGTTCTGTCCATCACATCACACCTCACTGCCTGTTCTGTACACCACATCACACCTCACTGCCAGTTCTGTACACCACATCACACCTCACTGTCTGTTCTGTACACCACATCACATCACACCACACTGTCTATTCTGTACACCACATCACACCTCACTGCCAATTCTGTACACCTCATCACACCTCACTGCCAGTTCTGTACACCTCATAACACCTCACTGTCTGTTCTGTACACCACATCACACCTCACTGTCTGTTCTGTACATCACATCACACCTCACTGCCAGTTCTGTACACCACATCACACCTCACTGTCTGTTCTGTACACCACATCACACCTCACTGCCAGTTCTGTACACCACATCACACCTCACTGTCTGTTCTGTACACCACATCACACCTCACTGCCAGTTCTGTACACAACATCACACCACACTGTCTATTCTGTACACCTCATCACACCTCACTGTCTATTCTGTACACCACATCACACATCACTGCCAGTTCTGTATGCCACATCACACCTCACTGCCAGTTCTGTACAACAGAACTTAGTCTTAACCACAGCAACAGAACACACCACACTGTCTATTCTGTACACCACATCACACCTCATATTTGTCTGAAGAAGCTGAGAAGCTGAGGGCTTGAAGACAACTTATCACAAATATCAGAAAGAGACAGTCATCATTTTTTTCTCCATGTTAAAAGAAGAAGAAAACTAGAACATGTTGTGATCACTGGAAAGATCGGGGGAGGGGGAGATGGGAGAGACATAGGAAGACAAAATGAGATGCTTCTTGACAGCCTCTTTTTTTTTCCTTCATGGCCTGGAAGTGTGTCAGCCATGCACTGAAACATGCTGTTGAACATCGCAGATTGTGGAGAGGCATGATCGCCCATACCAGTCGGCAAGGCACTTGATAAGGATCTGCCCTACTGTAACGTAAAGTTTTCAGGTTGCAGTTATTCATTCTAGGATAAGGCCTTATCCTCCCTCATATGCTCTTTCACCCAAAGCTGTTGGTGGTATACATGGGACTATACAGATTTAAAATTGTGGTAGTTGTAACTTAGTATCATTTGACTGCATTTAGTTATGTGACAAAGTTGTGTTTCTAACACCATCTGTTGATATTATGTAACTAGTATTTAATAGTTGTAGGACTTGATGTTCTGTCTTAGACATAGTAGTAGTTGTACCAGTATCTTTGACATTGTGGTAGTCGTATTAATATCTGTTGATGTTCTATGTTTAACACAGTGGTAGTTGTACTAGTAATATCTGTTGATGTTCTGTGTTTAACACAGTGGTAGTTGTACTAGTAATATCTGTTGGTGTTCTATGTTTAACATAGAGGAAGTTGTACCAGTATGTGTTGGTGTTCTATGTTTAACATAGAGGAAGTTGTACCAGTATGTGTTGGTATTCTATGTTTAACATAGAGGAAGTTGTACCAGTATGTGTTGGTGTTCTATGTTCAACATAGTGGAAGTTGTACCAGTATGTGTTGGTGTTCTATGTTCAACATAGAGGAAGTTGTACCAGTATGTGTTGGTGTTCTATGTTTAACATAGAGGAAGTTGTACCAGTATGTGTTGGTGTTCTATGTTTAACATAGAGGAAGTTGTACCAGTATGTGTGTTGGTGTTCTATGTTTAACATAGAGGAAGTTGTACCAGTATGTGTTGGTGTTCTATGTTTAACATAGAGGAAGTTGTACCAGTATGTGTTGGTGTTCTATGTTTAACATAGAGGAAGTTGTACCAGTATGTGTTGGTGTTCTATGTTTAACATAGAGGAAGTTGTACCAGTATGTGTTGGTGTTCTATGTTTAACATAGAGGAAGTTGTACCAGTATGTGTTGGTGTTCTATGTTTAACATAGAGGAAGTTGTACCAGTATGTGTTGGTATTCTATGTTTAACATAGAGGAAGTTGTACCAGTATGTGTTGGTGTTCTATGTTCAACATAGTGGAAGTTGTACCAGTATGTGTTGGTATTCTATGTTTAACATAGTGGAAGTTGTACCAGTATGTGTTGATGTTTTTTGTTTAACGCAGTAGTAGTTGTACCAGTATTTGCTGATGTTCTGTAACACAGTAGTAGTTGTACCAGTATCTGCTGATGTTCTAAATTTAACATAGTGGTAGTTGTACCACTATCTGCTGATGTTGTATGTTTAATATAGTGGTAATTGTACCAGTTTATGTTGATGATCTATGCTGAACATAATGGTAATTGTACCATTTTCTGTTGACATTGTACCCATTTCTGTTGACATTCTGTTTAACATACTGTTAGTTGTACCAGTGTCTGTTTATGGTATGCAAGTATTTTACAAGAAAGTAGTCTCATTATTGGAAATCAAATTTTGCAGGTGAGCATTGCAAATTACATCGCTGTACACATGGGTACTGCCCACCCACATCAGGATCCGGATGGCACCATGTACTACTTTGGCACCAACATAAAGTATTCACAGGCTTACAACTTTGTCCGTATTCCACGGAACCCGCAGGCTCAGTGTAAGTCATTGGCTGTTGTCTGTAGTGGTGTCCTTGCAGAACTGTGGATTGTATACTGTGTGGATGTAATGTCCTAAGTCCCTTCCCCAGCTAATAATGAGGGTACTGCTGGGGTGACCGTTTATTAACCCTCATATAATGCTTCAGGTCAAAATGGACGCTAGGCACGGCCACCCTTTTTTTTTCTTTAGCCGTGGCAAATATTTTTAAATTTTATTTTGCCAGACGGTGGCCGTTGCATTTTTGCTCTATTTGTAGACTGGAAGGATATAGTTTCGTCGCCCAGCTTCTGAGTTGAGTGCATGGCGTGACACTGTGAGCTACATGTGTTTTTCTTTGGCACAGGAGCGGAGCAACTTTGGGGTGACCCATTAGCTATGAAGCTGAAACTAGGATTACCAGATACCGTGTGATACTTATGGATTGCTGTTGTAGCAGGGACAGTTTGAGATTCGTCACAGAGCTGCAACAGGTGTTAACTCATTCGCTGTTATCCTTGGTGTTGTCTTTGTAAACTCGTGGATAGTGTACAGTTTGTGGATTGCTGCTATAGCTGTGACAATTTGAGGTTCGTCACAGAGCCGTGACAGGTGTTGGGTTCACTCATTTGCAGAATGTGTATCCTCTGATGTTGTTGAATTGTGAATTATTATTATGATTTCTAATATTCATGAAACTCTTATATGTTGTATGGGGCTCTGTTTTGAGGGCAAACAAGTCATAGACTCACTGTTCCTCATCAAGCATATCCTGTAAGGTGATTAAGTAGGGGTTTGCTGAAGCCGGATATGTTGGGCTGAAATGCACAGGTATTGCAACCTGGCTGTAAATAACGCCACTGCCAGCTGCCCTATTTAGAGTGACCACAGAAGAAGAAGAAGTAGGAGACTCAAAGCAAGACACAAGTGTCTTATCCTTCCTCTTGACAAATATCCTGTCCTCCCTCTTGACAAGTGTCCTGTTCTGTTCTCCCTCTTGACAAGTCGATCTTGACAAGTGTTATGTCCTCTTACTTAACATGTGTCTTTGTCTTCTTGACAAGTGTCCTGTCTTCCCTCTCGACAAGGTCCTGTCTTCCCTCTCGACAAGGTCCTGTCTTCCCTCTCGACAAGTGTCCTGTCTTCCCTCTCGACAAGTGTCCTGTCTTCCCTCTCGACAAGGTCCTGTCTTCCCTCTCCACAAGTGTCCTGTCTTCCCTCTCGACAAGTGTCCTGTCCTGTCTTCCCTCTCGACAAGTGTCCTCTCTTCCCTCTCGACAAGTGTCCTGTCCTGTCTTCCCTCTCGACAAGTGTCCTGTCCTGTCTTCCCTCTCGACAAGTGTCCTCTCTTCCCTCTCGACAAGTGTCCTGTCTTCCCTCTCGACAAGTGTCCTCTCTTCCCTCTCGACAAGTGTCCTCTCTTCCCTCTCGACAAGTGTCCTGTCTTCCCTCTCGACAAGTGTCCTGTCCTGTCTTCCCTCTCGACAAGTGTCCTGTCCTGTCTTCCCTCTCGACAAGTGTCCTCTCTTCCCTCTCGACAAGTGTCCTGTCCTGTCTTCCCTCTCGACAAGTGTCCTCTCTTCCCTCTCGACAAGTGTCCTGTCCTGTCTTCCCTCTCGACAAGTGTCCTGTCTTCCCTCTCGACAAGTGTCCTGTCCTGTCTTCCCTCTCGACAAGTGTCCTGTCTTCCCTCTCGACAAGTGTCCTGTCCTGTCTTCCCTCTCGACAAGTGTCCTGTCCTGTCTTCCCTCTCGACAAGTGTCCTGTCCTGTCTTCCCTCTCGACAAGTGTCCTGTCTTCCCTCTCGACAAGTGTCCTGTCCTGTCTTCCCTCTCGACAAGTGTCCTGTCCTGTCTTCCCTCTCGACAAGTGTCCTGTCCTGTCTTCCCTCTCGACAAGTGTCCTGTCCTGTCTTCCCTCTCGACAAGTGTCCTGTCTTCCCTCTCGACAAGGTCCTGTCTTCCCTCTTGACAAGTGTCCTGTCTTCCCTCTCGACAAGTATCCTGTCTTCCCTCTCGACATGTGTCCTGTCTTCCTTCCCAGCAAGTCTCCTGTCATCACTCTTGACAAGAGTCTTTTTATAACTCTTGAAAGGTGTCCTGCACCATGGCGTATTGAAACCAAAACTTATAGCAGAAGGCACAATACCTGGAAGGAGGCATAAAGGCTGATCAGCACGGTGATGGGCACAGGATATGTGACCTTGAGTATTAGAGTGCATGAGGCAGGAGAGCTGGCGAGAGACCGAGTATCTTTCAATCAGACAGTCATGCAAGCAGGGTTCTGCAAAATCCTGCTACATGATGATGATGAGAGAGCATTATGCAATGAATAGAAAAACCAAGGGATATATTCACTATCACATCACGCTTAGCTCAGGACCTAAAGTGCTAGTCCTATAGACAGCAGCCCTGGAGGGCACCAGTGGCCACCACTGACAACTATCATCACACTCCTTGTTTCTGCAGCCCCTTTTGCTGGAGCAGAACTGATTGGGTTCATACCCAGCCGATGGAAGCTCAACGTGGCCTACACCCACTCATTTGGCATGACAAAGAATTATTTTGTCCACATAGAGCAACCGTATGTCATTAGCGTTCCTAAAATTGCTACCATGGCTATGCGCCATTCTAGTCTTGCAGACTGTATCCGATGCTACCCAGAAGAACCGGTGAGTGTCAGTAAACTTTGTTTAATTTTTGTTTCTTGACTTTTTTCCACACCATTGATCATATAGAGCTCACGTGGCTAGGTCACACCTGGAGAATGGAGGATGGCAGAGTCCCTAAGGACATCCTTTATGGTGAATTAAAGACAGGAAGAAGATGTCGACGCCAACCTCTACTACGTTATAAAGATGTATGCAAGCAGGACATGAATGATACAGGTATTGAGGCGGACATGGGAACAAAATGCCATGGACTGTGTTGTGTGGAAAGGGCATATCAGGAAGGGAATGAGACTGAAGGAAGAAATGATTGCAGAAAGGATGAGAGCTGAGCGTCTGAAAAGAAACGGATTAAACACAAATGTTGTTAACAATGGTCCTGAAATCCCATGCTATCATTGTGGAAGACTTTTCTTGACACTTGCGGGTCTTGCTAGTCACACTCGCCATCGCCATGGGCTGTGAGTCTCATGCCTCCCCTTAGCACAATATAACACTATCGTCTGGAAAGACAGAAAGGTGCCAATGAATCATGATCATATATAGACCTAGACATATACACCAGTTGGCTCTCGGTGGGTGATGTGGTCAGCATCACACTGGTCACGTTTACTTTTGCAGAATTCTACCTGCAACACATTTAAGAGTCAGCCGATCTCGGAGCCAGGCATATTTTGAAAAAAAAAAGTCTGGCTCCATCGGAACCTGAACCCACGACCTTCAGACCCGCAGATGAGCACCTAGCCGCTACATCATGGCAGCAGCAGCTCTACGAGAAAATAAAATTGTATTGGATGTTTTAACCCAAATATGTTAATTGTGTAAGACTCATGACATACGTGTACTCTTCGACTTGAGTGAAAAATTAACATTTATTTTCTGCCTACTGCTGGCTTTGCCTCAGTAAATGATATTGAGCGTGTATGCAGTATGAGTGACAATTCAACTAAACCATACAGTACTTGTGAATCCCTGAGTGTATGGGGCAAGTCAGAAACTGTAATGTACACTTGTACCCTGAGCAGAGGGGGAAACTCATATAATAACATAAAAGGTAAAGGAAAAGTCGGGAGATGTGAACCAGCGTCATTGCACCCGTTTATAAAGCATAAGTGCTCTGCCACCAGTACGGAGAGCTGATAAGAAACTCTCCGCCTGTGTCGCTGTCCGCACACAACTCCGTAACTACAGCGATGTTCCTCCATTTACCCCAGAGTCTTAACTCTGGTACCCATTACCTAGAGGCTGGGTGAACCCCGAGAACCGCCCGGTTTCGATTCCGGCCGTGAGCTACAGCGAGTCGCAGCTGGATTTGAAAGCGAGTTTCCTATCGACTGCGCTAACATGGCCCCCATATATATAATAATGTACCCTGAGCCAATGGGGAACAGTTGAACAGGCAGAACTGAGAGACAAATATTTATATCCGGAATAATTAAAAAAAGGGGGGCAGGGATCTCAGCCAGCAAGACCAAAGTGAAAATCAGTACCCGAAACCAAAGTGAACATCAGTACCCCAAACCAAAGTGAACATCAGTACCCCAAACCAAAGTGAAAATCAGTACCCCAAACCAAAGTGAAAATCAGTACCCCAAACCAAAGTGAAAATCAGTACCCCAAACCAAAATAAAACATCAGTACCCCAAACCAAAGTGAACATTAGTACCCCAAACCAAAGTGAACATTAGTACCCCAAACCAAAGTGAACATCAGTACCCCAAACCAAAGTGAACATCAGTACCCCAAACCAAAGTAAAAATCAGTACCCCAAACCGAAGTAAACATCAGTACCTCAAACCAAAGTAAACATCAGTACCCCAAGCCAAAGTGAACATCAGTACCCCAAAATAAAAGTGAAGAATTCAGAAATGCAAGGTATTATATTACATCCTCACACACTCAGGGCTTAGGTTTCACCAGATTTTTTTAGCCTTAGCAGGTGCCCCAATTAAATCTTCTTTGGGGGTCTGGGATTTGCCAGTTAGTCTGACATCCAGTGTGAGTTTTTTTTTTTTTTAATCCCAGGATGGTCACACTTGTGGGTAGCAGCCCAGGTGAGAGAGATGGAATAGGAATCATACCATTTCATTTGACTTCCACAAATAAATTTTGTTGTTGTTACGTGTTACAGTTGTTTTATCAGGCTTGTAACAATTTATTCTATTGTTGTTATATATTACAAATTACCTATCAGTCCTCAACCAGTTGTCTGTTTTGTATATTTGTTATATGTTACAGGCGTGTCATCAGTCCTGTGACAGTTGGTGACAAGAAGTGCTAAATAACATAAAATCTGACTGGAAAGCTCAAGGGAAGGAATGGAAAAGATGCTAAATAACATAAAATCTGACTAGAAAGCTAAAGGGAAGGAATGGAAATAATGCTAAATAACATAAAATCTGACTAGAAAGCTGAAGGGAAGGAATGGAAAAGATGCTAAATTTATTCTTCTTCTTCGGGTTCACTGGCTGTAAATTGTAAACTCAGGTGGAAAGCTTTGAGTGTTTATCCACCTCCGGACTTTAGTCTTGCTCCAGAACCTGAGTGTGGCATGCACATCGCTTTCACAGATCTAGCTTATTTTTATGCAGACTTGTGGTCCCTTGCCTCAGGCAGATGTACCCCGACTTTGAAGGATGTCCCCAATTAGTCATCTCGTACAGCATGCTTGTTGGGGAGGCAGTGGGTCTATTCGTGTTTTCTCCACAATGGGGCCCCAGAACCCACACAGGATCTAATATATTATTACAAGGACAAATAAAACAACCAAGAAACATCAAAACAACAGAACTAAAGTGTCTACAGTGAATCCTAAAGTGAATCCTGATTAACAAGAAGAAACAGAATCAGAAGTAATGATGTCAGGAACCAGAGCTTTACTACATCCAGAGACAGCAGTTCAAATGGTTTGGACATGTGTCAGGACTAGCACGGGATAGTGCACTAAAGAGAGCTCTGTCACTTAGACACAACAGAAGTAGAACTAGGTGTTGCCCATGCCATGTCATTTGTGCTTCATGTCACATGTTCTTTATGTCATGGGTTCTTCATGTCATGTCTGCTTCATGTCATGTGTGCTTCATGTGCGCTTCATCTCATGTCTGCTTCATGTCATGTGTGCTTCATGTGCGCTTCATCTCATGTCTGCTTCATGTCATGTGTGCATTGTGTCATGTGTGCTTCGTGTCATATGTACTTCATGTCATATGTACATCATGTCATGTGTGCTTTGTGTCATGTGTGCTTCATGTCATGTGTGCTTCGTGTCATATGCACTTCATACTGTGTTGCAGGCCAAAGAGGGAGAGAACCTGGTGACCTTACCTGGAACAACAGCTACAGCAGTGCTACGTGCGGGCACCAAGAATGTCCTCGATGTGACATATGACAAGATGTTTGGAGGTTTGTATGTACGTGTGTCTGTATATGTGCTTGAATGTGTGTTAGGACTTGTGTATTTCCATATAAAGTGGTATTTTATTGTTTAGGCCTCTCTGTCACTCTATCTGAGCAAACGCAGTTCCAACGCATTGCTAAGACCTGCCTGAAGGGGGATAGGGTAAGGGTTGTAAGCAGACAAGTGTGCCATGCCGACTGTCGTTCAGGAATAATGTCTGTGGTGATGGTCCTGATCCATTCTGTGTGTTTTTGGTTTTTTAGAAAAAGATGAAAAATTGTCACGTTCAACCAGCATCCCCAAATGGGAGCTTTAGGTTATAGTTGTGACTTAGGTTATTTGTGCCATTTAAAACAATATATCTCAAACAAAAAGTCTTAAACAAAACGTCTTAACATGCAAAGATTATCAAGCTATCTGCAACACAAATATAATGTTGCCCTAGTTGCTGTCATCTTGGATTATCCTAAGATAATTCTACCCTAGTTGCCATCATTGTAGATTATACTAAGATAATTCTACCCTAGTTGCTGTCATTGTAGATTATACTAAGATAATTCTACCGTAGTTGCTGTCATGGACATTACTACTATGTAAAACTACTGTTGCAACAAAACTGTTCTAGCTGTCTCACACGCGTCTGCCTCCTGTGTACAAGACTGTGGGTGCTCCAGCCATCTGTCCCATCCCATTATCCTTCAGAAAGTCCCGGTTCAAACACTGGGTGTTCTTCATGGCTGTCGAGTCCCATTCATTCATCACCTGTCACTGACTATTCACTTTACAGTTGTTGACAACTAAGTTTTGGTACCTTCTGTCTGTTCTTTGTTTTTGCAATCATTATTACGTTACACTGTACACACATGCCAGCGTGCAATCTCCCCCCTTCCCCCCAGCAATGAGCTGTCAGTCTGTGACTTTGACCCTCCCTTCATACTGATACTTTCAGTCTTGATCAAAACTGAATAGTTAGTTTATAGAATGGAAGCTTGATGATAGTAGTTGTGACATGACCAAGAGCCGGTCACTTATTTAAGTTTGATGACAGCTCACTGACAGAATATCTTGTAAACTTCAGACACAGCTTTCGAGTTGCCCAGGATCAACTATGCCTTCAATGGACAGAAGTACAGATATGCCTATGGGTCCACTAAATGATTGCCAAATTGATGATTAAAAAAAAAAATTCACTTTTAAAGCAAACAGTGCAGCTGTGAAATGAATTCAGAGCGCGAGGCAGATGACTTTGCCACAGAGCATCTTCTCCCCCCCCCCCCCCCCTCCCCCCTTTCCCCATTATATGATGAGGTGAGATCAGGATTAAATTCTAAAACTGAGTTTTGAGATGTATTTGAGATACTTCTTTTTCTTCTGCCTTAGCCCCAAACTCTCAGTCCCAGTTGATTTCAAAACTAAAACCCAGTCTGTTGCAGTAGCCACAGGGAGAAAGCATAAGTTTGTCACATTTAAAGACCTAACCTATACTGTGCTGCATAGTAAAATATTTGGCCAGATGTATTTATTACACCCAGACCAAACAAGAAAGGTAGAAGAACATACAGTGTGTTGTGGTGGTACACATGGACGTTTGCTAATAACAACCTTGCATTACTCAAGATTGAAAGAGTTAAAAGAGCATTTGCCGCATTGTGTTGTGGTTTACAGCTAGGCTTTGATATATGTGCTTTTCGACCCAACACATTCGATTTCAGAAAACCCCTAATTTGTCATCTTTTAGGAAATGCTTGTAAAAAAGGGGGGGGGGGGGGGGGGGGGGGGGGGGGGAGGGGGGAGGGAGGGGGGGTCAGTATCTATGGCTTGGGTGTGGCTAAAGCGCTGTATAATGCCGAACTGGGTTCAATCCTAGCTGCAGGCCATTCGGCAGCAGATGGGCTTATGTTGGTTTTGACAGTCACATCAAGAGCTGACCATTCAAGCATAGTGAAATTACAAACGGTCAGGGTATACTGGGATGGTTGCGCAACTTCATGTAAAGGATACACAACTATTTTGGGGGAGAGGGGGGAGACATATTATTTGAACCCTACCCTCCCAAAATGGGGCCTTGGAACCTCACAGGGTCATTACCGGACTGAGTGCTTCAATTGAAGCCCATGTTGAGTGCTATGGGGGGATTTGAGATAATAATAGCAGAAGGCGTGGTTTCAAAAAGAAGGGGCAGGGACTGACCAACGTTAAGATGGGTGCAGGAGTGATTCCTTGAGTATGAAAGTACTAGGTGGGAGAGCTGGCGAGAAACCGAGTTTTTTTCATGCAGACCATGATGAGAGTGACGTTATGCAAAGGACCTGTTACATCATGATGGTGTGTGAAGTGTAAAAATGTGGGATTTAGCTGCAGGTCTGTTTTGACACAAGATTCAAATCTGTATCCACAGCTGATGAAGGTGGATGTGCAGGAGAGACAAATGTATGAGTGGAAATGTGAAGAGACTCACGTGGTTGGAGAGCCAGTGTTTATTGCAGCACCAGAAGCCAAGAAGGAAGATGATGGTAAGCCAATATATATATGTTCATGCCTGACTTGTTATGATCTGTGCATGTTGTATTTTCTGTCAGGTTTCTTTAGAATCAGGTGATCGTTCCAGCTTCATAGCAAATAGGTCACACTGAAGATGCTCTGTTCCTATGACAAGGAAACCACACAGAATGCTCATCACTGTTCCGTGTGAAGAGACTGACATAGATTGCAGTTTCAGCAAAGCCAATAGCACGCACATGCATTCAATGCATGAGGCAGCCATCAGAAGTACAGACACAATTGGTTTGGCACTAGAAATGCAGTTCAACGTTGATGGGAACACTAGATGCATTATATTAGCATAGCACACTACCCTCTCCCCCAGCAACACCTACTTTTGGTCCCTTCCTTACAATTGCAACAGCTAATGTTCCCTCCCCCCTCCTATCCTCCACATTTGCTCTTGAAGTTACTATTGCCCCCTCTCCCATAATTGCATCCACACCTGCTATTGCCCCTCTCCCCCACTATTGCACAGAGAGCTTCTATTGCCCCCCTCCCCCACAATCACACTGCACTAACACCTACTATTGCCCCTCTCCCCCACATTCACACTGCACTAACACCTACTATTGCCCCCCTCCTCCACATTCACACTGCACTAACACCTACTATTGCCCCCCTCCCCCACAATCACACTGCACTAACACCTACTATTGCCCCCCTCCCCCACAATCACACACTGCACTAACACCTACTATTGCCCCCCTCCCCCACATTCACACTGCACTAACACCTACTATTGCCCCCCTCCTCCACATTCACACTGCACTAACACCTACTATTGCCCCCCTCCCCCACAATCACACTGCACTAACACCTACTATTGCCCCCCTCCCCCACAATCACACTGCACTAACACCTACTATTGCCCCCCTCCCCCACAATCACACTGCACTAACACCTACTATTGCCCCCCTCCCCCACATTCACACTGCACTAACACCTACTATTGCCCCCCTCCTCCACATTCACACTGCACTAACACCTACTATTGCCCCCCTCCCCACAATCACACTGCACTAACACCTACTATTGCCCCCCCTCCCCCACAATCACACTGCACTAACACCTACTATTGCCCCCCTCCCCCACAATCACACTGCACTAACACCTACTATTGCCCCCCTCCCCCACATTCACACTGCACTAACACCTACTATTGCCCCTCTCCCCCACATTCACACTGCACTAACACCTACTATTGCCCCCCTCCTCCACATTCACACTGCACTAACACCTACTATTGTCCCCCCTCCTCCACATTCACACTGCACTAACACCTACTATTGGCCCCCTCCTCCACATTCACACTGCACTAACACCTACTATTGCCCCCTCCTCCACAATCACACTGCACTAACACCTACTATTGCCCCCTCCCCCACATTCACACTGCACTAACACCTACTATTGCCCCCCTCCTCCACATTCACACTGCACTAACACCTACTATTGCCCCTCTCCTCCACATTCACACTGCACTAACACCTACTATTGCCCCCCTCCTCCACATTCACACTGCACTAACACCTACTATTGCCCCCCTCCTCCACATTCACACTGCACTAACACCTACTATTGCCCCCCTCCTCCACATTCACACTGCACTAACACCTACTATTGCCCCCCTCCCCCACAATCACACTGCACTAACACCTACTATTGCCCCCTCCCCCACAATCACACTGCACTAACACCTACTATTGCCCCCCTCCCCCACAATCACACTGCACTAACACTACTATTGCCCCCCTCCCCCACATTCACACTGCACTAACACCTACTATTGCCCCTCTCCCCCACATTCACACTGCACTAACACCTACTATTGCCCCCCTCCTCCACATTCACACTGCACTAACACCTACTATTGCCCCCCTCCTCCACATTCACACTGCACTAACACCTACTATTGCCCCTCTCCTCCACATTCACACTGCACTAACACCTACTATTGCCCCCCCTCCCCCACAATCACACTGCACTAACACCTACTATTGCCCCCCTCCCCCACATTCACACTGCACTAACACCTACTATTGCCCCCCTCCTCCACATTCACACTGCACTAACACCTACTATTGCCCCCCTCCTCCACGTTCACACTGCACTAACACCTACTATTGCCCCCCTCCTCAACATTCACACTGCACTAACACCTACTATTGCCCCTCTCCTCCACATTCACACTGCACTAACACCTACTATTGCCCCCCTCCCCCACATTCACACTGCACTAACACCTACTATTGCCCCCCTCCTCCACATTCACACTGCACTAACACCTACTATTGCCCCTCTCCTCCACATTCACACTGCACTAACACCTACTATTGCCCCTCTCCTCCAAATTCACACTGCACTAACACCTACTATTGCCCCCCTCCCCCACAATTGCACCGACAGCTACTATTGCTCCCTCTCTTCCACATTCACACTCACACCCTTTATTGCACCCTCTCTCACAATTGCACCCACAGCAACTGTTGCCCTCTTTCCCAAATAATTGCACCCACAGCTACTTTTGCCTTCCTCCCTTCCCATTTGTACTCACAGTTACTATTGCCTCCCACCCCTCTTTCACCCCACAGTTGCACCCACAGCTATTATTGTCATCCCCCACCCCCCAACAAATTACATCCATAGCTACAGCTAGCTACCTTCTATGACAGTGGTTCTTGCCATGTGGGTTGTGACCCCCTTTAGGGGTCAAATGACCCTTTCACAGGGGTCGCCCTAGACCTTCGCAAAACATATATTCACTGAAGTTCTGAAGTAGCAAGGAAAATAATTTTATGGTTGGAGCTGTATTAACTCTTGAGTCCTAGAGGGTTTAGCATCACAGGCCCAAGGTGTAGTCAAGAGAGACGTAAAATTGGCGCATTATGCTTTGTTTGGGCTTCTAGGCATACAGTAACCTCAAAGAGTTCAAGGGTCATGACATTAGGAAGGTTGAGAACCACTGTTTTAGGAGATAATATTGCCTATTTGGTGAAACTGGTCTCTGCACCAAGAGTCAATGCTTTTTCCATGGTATTTTTTTGGTGCTCAACAGTTGGTGTACTAGTTAATTTGATTTGATGTCCAATATGGTATTTCAATGGTGCTCGACAGTAGGTGTACTAGTTAATTTGATTTTATGTCCAATATATGAAGATGATCCCATGAGATAAGTGATTACTTTTATCATTATCAGGTGCGGTCCTGTGTCCCATGATTGATTACTTTTATCATCATCAGGTGTGGTCCTGTGTCCTATGATTGATTACTTTTATCATTATCAGATGTGGTCCTGTGTCCCATGATTGATTACTTTTATCATCATCAGGTGTGGTCCTGTGTCCTATGATTGATTACTTTTATCATCATCAGGTGTGGTCCTGTGTCTCATGATTGATTACTTTTATCATCATCAGGTGTGGTCCTGTGTCTCATGATTGATTACTTTTATCATCATCAGGTGTGGTCCTGCGTCTCATGATTAATTACTTTTATCATCATCAGGTGTGGTCCTGTGTCCCATGATTGATTACTTTTATCAACATCAGGTGTGGTCCTGTGTCCCATGATTGATTACTTTTATCAATATCAGGTGTGGTCCTGTGTCCCATGATTGATGACTTTTTATCAACATCAGGTGTGGTCCTGTGTCCCATGATTGATTACTTTTATCAACATTAGGTGTGGTCCTGTGTCCCATGATTGATTACTTTTATCATCATTAGGTGTGGTCCTGTATCTCATGATTGATTACTTTCATCATCATCAGGTGTGGTCCTGTGTCCCATGATAGATTTACTTTTATCATCATCAGGTGTGGTCCTGTGTCCCATGATTTATTACTTTTATCACCATCAGGTGTGGTCCTGTGTCCCATGATTGATTACTTTTATCATCATCAGGTGTGGTCCTGTGTCCCATGATTGATTACTGTTATCATCATCAGGTGTGGTCCTGTGTCCCATGATTGATTACTTTTATCATCATCATGTGTGGTCCTGTGTCCCATGATTGATTACTTTTATCACCATCAGGTGTGGTCCTGTGTCCCATGATTGTTACTTTTATCATCATCAAGTGTGGTCCTGTGTCTCATGATTGATTACTTTTATCATCATCAAGTGTGGTCCTGTGTCTCATGATTGATTACTTTTATCATCATCAGGTGTGGTCCTATGTCCCATCCTGGCAAACACAACCAAGGACTCGTCCTTCCTGCTGGTGTTGGATGCCTCGTCTTTCACGGAGATCGCCAAGGCCAGCACACCTGCTGACCTCAAGATGAATGTCACCTTTCATGGCATTTTTGTCAACAAGGTGTTCTAGACACAGGCTGTGTTCAGTCATATATATAAGTCAGTGTTTGAGAGATCAGTCATAGATATGTGTCAGTGTTTGAGAGATCAGTCATAGATATGAGTCAGTGTTTGAGAGATCAGTCATAGATATGAGTCTGTTTGAGAGATGAGTCATAGATATGTGTCAGTGTTTGAGAGATCAGTCATAGATATGAGTCAGTGTTTGAGAGATCAGTCATAGATATGTGTCAGTGTTTGAGAGATCAGTCATAGATATGAGTCAGTGTTTGAGAGATCAGTCATAGATATGAGTCTGTTTGAGAGATGAGTCATAGATATGTGTCAGTGTTTGAGAGATCAGTCATAGATATGAGTCAGTGTTTGAGAGATCAGTCATAGATATGAGTCATTGTTTGAGAGATGAGCCATAGATATGTGTCAGTGTTTGAGAGATCAGTCATAGATATGAGTCAGTTTTTGAGAGATCAGCCATAGATATGAGTCAGTGTTTGAGAGATCAGTCATAGATATGTGTCAGTGTTTGAGAGATCAGCCATAGATATGAGTCAGTGTTTGAGAGATCAGTCATAGATATGTGTCAGTGTTTGAGAGATCAGTCATAGATATGAGTCAGTGTTTGAGAGATCAGTCATAGATATGAGTCTGTGTTTGAGAGATCAGTCATAGATATGTGTCAGTGTTTGAGAGATCAGTCATAGATATGTGTCAGTGTTTGAGAGATCAGTCATAGATATGTGTCAGTGTTTGAGAGATCAGTCATAGATATGTGTCAGTGTTTGAGAGATCAGTCATAGATATGTGTCAGTGTTTGAGAGATCAGTCATAGATATGTGTCAGTGTTTGAGAGATCAGTCATAGATATGTGTCAGTGTTTGAGAGATCAGTCATAGATATGTGTCAGTGTTTGAGAGATCAGTCATAGCAGGTGTGCCTTTATTTTGTCCTCAGAGATCATCATTACAATCATCAACATTAACCACTTCTATCATTAAGCTTTGGGTAGGGGGAGGACAGTTTGCAGTTCAGTGCATGCTGTTGTCATGCCCAGAATGTGTCAAGATGATTTTTCTTTTCTTCCCGCTCACGGAATCAGATGCAAGATAGATACACCAAATGAGAGATCACAACAGCTAGGTCCAAAACTCATTATGGGAAAGACAAAGATAATGAGAATGAATCAGCCAAATTGTGATGTGATTTCTCTCAATGATGCCCAACTCCAAGACGTGGAATAGTACCCATATTTGGGCAGTAATGTAGATAAAGATGGGGAAGCTGATAGGGATATTAAAATGTGAATACAAAAGGCAAAAAGAGCTTTAACAGCACTACTAAATTTGTGGAGGTAAAAAGAAATGCTAAACTTGAAAATTTGTAATTCCAAAATAAAATCTGTACTTTTGTATGAAGCGGAAACATGGAGAACAACTAATGCAGTTACTAATAAACTACAGACATTCATTTACTGGTGCTTGCGGAAAATAGAGGGAATTAAGTAGTTTGATAGAATCACTAATGTAGAGCTTTGAGAGAGGACGAAACGAGTTCCAGTCGACCAAGAGATGAAGAAAAGATGCTGGCGATGGATAGGACACACGTAGAGAAAACTGAGAACAATATAACTAGAATGTTATCGCACTTTAACCCACAGGGGCATAGAAATAAAAGAAGACCCCAAAAAAAAAAAAAAATGGAAATTGGAGCTAAAGGGTGAAGTTAAAAAGATAGGGAGACATGAGGAGAGATGCATGCAATAGTGAAGGATAGAATCACCTGGCGTGAGTTGGTTGAGGCCCTATGGTCCATTGAGGGTTAGAAAAGCAGAAGAAGAAGATGTATAAAGTTCTTTAATGTTATCGATACACAATTATTTGTGGTCGTCCTTATGATCATCTGAAATGTAGTGTCTATGATTATATTTGATATTGCTGCATTCAAATGAGATGGCCAGACCACTTGATCTGCCATTTCTGGATGAATCAAGTACAAGGTGGAGGGGGGGTTGCATGGTCTTGAGGCATGGTGTCCATCTCAACTGCTAGAGGTTCCGGGTTCAATCCCCAGTAAGGGCTGGGATTTTTTCACGTGGAGATTGGACATAGTAATTCCACCGGTCTCTGGGTGGTGAGATCTGGCGCCAGTGTGCATTGTTGCGCACGTAAAAGATCCCTTGGCAACAATAGTAGCGTAATGGCGCTGTTCGGGCAAAATTTAGAGTTAAAAAAAACTTCCCAAAGTATTTCAGGATCCTCGCTGGTGCTAAAGAACCTGTGCTGAGCTTCTTCGGACTCAGACTTGAGTTAGAAGAAGAAGAACGGAGAACTTATGGGTTACTACCCGTGTGCCATGAAGTTGATCCATTCAAACCTCAAGTACAAAGTATTGTTTCACAGTCTGTTACATGGAATCATTATTCACTCGACCTCTTGTGGCTACGTTGGTGGCTTTTCTTTAAGACCACTTTTAAATAAACCTGCCTTCTGGAAACCCGACAACAGTTTTTATATTTGTTTCTTTATTTCTCTCTCTCACTCTTTCTCTCTCTCTCTCTCTCTCTCTCTCTCTCTCTCTCTCTCTCTCTCTCTCTCTCTCTCTCTCTCTCTCTCTCTCTCTCTCTCTCTCTCTCTCTCTCTCTCTCTCTCTCTCAGTGTATCTTTTATTCCTTTGTCTTTTTAATCTTTGTCTTTTATTTCTCTGTCTTCTTTCGCCTCTAGTGTGTATGTGAGCGAGTTTGATGTGTCTGATGCCCAGCTGGAGTCAGTATTTGTTAAGTTATATAATCTGATGTCAGTTTAGTTGATTTTTGAGGCATTAATCATCATCACATGCCCTATCAACCGGCGTAGGCTTCCGTGCGTCTCTACAGATCTCAGTCCCTTGTCCTCTGGATCACTTCCACCGATATCTCCATGCCACCACGATTGCACTGCCTCTGTCATCATCTCTGTCGGTCTGCCTCTCCCTCTTCTATTGTTAATCTTCCCAGATGTCACAGTATTCTCCAAAGCCTCCCCCCCCCCCCTCCTCAATCTCATGACAAAGAAACAGTGTTTTTTTTCTTCTGAAAGCTGTCTATATTTCTATATTGATCTGGTTTCTTTAGCTTTCTTCAAGCAGTCCTCATTACTTACTCTGCCATTCCAAGGGATTCTAAACATTTGTCTGAGGAACCACAGCTCTGTCACCTCCAAGTTCTTTCTAATTTGTGTATTCACATTCCATGATTCACTACCATACAGCAATATAGGTTCTACATGACAGTTTAGTACACTTTTGACATCCAAAGAGAGGGACCTGTTGCACAAAATGTTCTTCATTCTGTGAAATGCAGCCTAAGCCTGGCCTATTCTGCTCTTAATTTCTGACACACATCTTTCGTCTAATGTTATGATTGTACCCAGATAATTTGAATGTATCGACTTGGATTAACTTTTTACCTTCTATTGTAATATCACACTTTGTTGGTATTTTTTTCTTAAAATATAACCATCACCTTCATTTTCTTAAATTCAAGGACAGACCTTTTTGTGCAGTTTGCCTCACTGCAAGTTGAGACATTGTTGTAAAAAAAATTGTTTTTTTTATTTTAACAGCAGGACATTTGCATTGATTTTGACTGAGCAATGCCAGACTACTAAACATAAAATTATCTAGTGAAAGCCAAAGAATGCTGGGGTTTATTCTTTCCTGTAGAGGAAAAGTAACTAACTATGAACAAGACCAAATTCCAGAAGGTTTTTTTGTTTGTTTTTAGAAATGTAATTTATTGTTTCTTGCGCGTTATCAGCACGAATATTAACTAACGATAAGATTTCTGACATCTGGTACCAGCTCCAGGGCCCCTAAAGATCGTGGGCACGCAGCAACGAGGGTCTGCACCCAGCAGAGATCTGTCATACTGAATCAAGACATCCCTGATCTCTTTCTTGGAGATTGCATCCACATATTTTTGATAATTAGATAAGATATTCTTGGAAAAATGACCAGACTTGTGACAGTTATGATCTGCTCAAAAATGGTGGCAAACCCTATTCCGGAACTTCGCTACGCAGATGACACAGTCCTCCTTTCGAACAACGTAAAGGGAATAGAAAATTTAATATTGTCTGTCCAAAAGCATAGTGAAGATCAACATCTGTTCTTGAATTTAAAGAAAACGAAAATAATGTGCACAGATAAAAGTTGCTGTCACCCAAAAATAACAATAAATGATGAAACAATTGAAAATGTCATAAACTTTGAATATCTAGGCTCTATAATAAACAACAATGGAGACTGTTTGACAGAAATTAAAAGGAGGATGGCCATAGCAAAGCAAAGATTGAACAACCTAAAAAGTCTATGGTTAAGCAGCAGCAAGGAAATCAAAAATATAATTTTGAGAACATGCATCTTCCCTGTGGCTACATACGTATGTGAGTCGTGGACTATCTCTCAGTCCTTAAGAAAGAGAATAGGGGCTCTTGAGCTGAAATGCTATATAGAAAGAGTCTCAGAGTATCTTGAAGAAGAGGAGAAATACTGACATCTTGAAAGATCTGAACATCAAGGAAGATTGGCTAAGAAACCAAAATATTTCAGCTTCCGAGAGAGGAAACTGAAATATTTTCGTCGTATCAAGCGCCACGACGGATTGGAAAAAATTATAGGAGAAGGCATGGTTCCAGGAAAGAGGGGCAGGGGCCCACCGACACGAAAATGGGCACCGGCACAGGATATAAGTGACTCCTTGAGTATGAAAGTACATGAGGCGGGAGAACTGGCGAGAGACCCAGTTTATTTCAGGCAGACCGTGATGAGAGCGACGTTCTGTAAAGGACCTGCTGCTTGATGATGATGATGATTCTTGGAAACAGCTGATCTGCTTGCATAGATCTGTGCTACATAACCACCTCCTTTGGACATGCATACCGATATCAACCCCAGCAAATCTCTTTGCCCAGCAGCAAAACTGGCTCTTGAAGTTCAACATGGAGAATTTCAGGATCCATCGGATCTAGTGGGCATCCATTGACCTTGACTGTTCTGTTTCTACGTTTGCAGTGAGCTACTGCAGTCGTGGTTTTCTTTCGCCCAAATACCCGAACAGCTTGAAGTAAAACATTTTCAGGAATGCAGACTAGCGAATCCTGTGAACGAACAAATTAAAGCCGAGAGGATTGACCTCATTGCATCAGGTTTTATCCCATACGACTCAGTCTCTCTTTGCAGTACAACTAGCGGAGCTCCGTAGCTCTGGCGACAATCTTCAGAGATCATCATAAAAATTGCATTCTTGAAGGGCACAGCTGTGAGACGAACCCACGACCTTCAGAGCGCACGGCGAAGGTTTGATCACTTCACCACAGAGATCCTAACGGATAACTAGAACCTTCTGCCACAGTTTACAGCGAGCAAACAAGAAAACAAAACTTTATATATGTACACACACATATACATACATATATACACATACATATATATTCACACATTATACACATACCTATATATATAGATATATAAGGTATGTGTATAATGTGTGCGTATGTATAATGTGTGTGTATGTATAATGTATGTGTATAATGTGTGTGTATGTATAATTACTATAATGTATGTGTGTGTGTATAATGTATGTGTATTGTGTATGAATATATGTGTGTGTGTGTGTGTACATATATAAAGTTTTGTTTTCTTGTTTGCTCGCTGTAAACTGTGGCAGAAGGTTCTAGTTGTCCGTTAGGGTCTCTGTGGTGAAGTGGTCAAACCTTCGCCTTGCGCTCTGAAGGTCGTGGGTTCGTCTCACAGCTGTGCCCTTCAAGAATGCAATTATACACATACATGTTATATATGTATATATATACACACACACACATTATACACATACATTATATATATATATATATATAAAATCTGACATTGCGTTGGAATTAAGCTGTGTCATTTACCATAGCGTTAATTTTATAATTATGGTGTCTATTTCCTGTTTTGGTTGCTTTTCACGTCGTTTCTTTTTTTTAACGACTTCAATGAGGGAAAGAGTAGTCAGTGAATTAAAAGGGGGGGGGGGGGGGGTTAAGTGTTAATTAAGAGGGCTTTAAGTCACAGTAATTGCCTTGCCCACTCATAGTAGTAGTAGTTGTGGTTGGCCGGTTACACCGTAGGGCTGTCACGCAGGAGACCCGGGTTTGACTGCCGCTAGGATGATTTGAGTTGTTCTGTCGGGGGGGGGGGGGGGGGTGGCGATATTACACATCCTAACCTGACCAGTCCGTGGCGACAGCACTAGCCATGCGGCACAAAATCCTGTGGCTTACGACCTCCTGTCTACTCCAATGGTAAAACAGATAGTTGTGACATTAGTTGAGTTATTGTGTAGGGTGGTGGTATTAGTAGTATGGCACGTGAAGGATAGTGTGGTAAATGTACTAGCGAGAAGAAAAAGAAGGAAAAACACACAAGTAGGGGAGATAAAGGAAAATTGTGATTAGGACAATATGTAATTGTTCCCCGCTAAACAGCAAAAACAGGAAAGTAAAGAAAAGACAGGGGTTCTTCTGCGCAGGGATTCCTAGTAAAGATGAAAGGGTGGGTGATGTACGGACTCCCTGACAAGATGACAGGGTGTGTGCTGTACAGACTCCTCGACAAGATGACAGGGTGTGTGCTGTACGGACTCCCTGACAAGATGACAGGGTGTGTGCTGTACGGACTCCTCGACAAGATGACAGGGTGTGTGCTGTACGGACTCCCCGACAAGATGACAGGGTGTGTGCTGTACGGACTCCTCGACAAGATGACAGGGTGTGTGCTGTACGGACTACCCGACAAGATGACAGGGTGTGTGCTGTACGGACTCATCGACAAGATGACAGGGTGTGTGCTGTACGGACTCCCCAACAAGATGACAGGGTGTGCGCTGTACGGACTCCCCGACAAGATGACAAGGTGTGTGCTGTACGGACTCCCCGACAAGATGACATAGTGTGTGCTGTACGGACTCCCCGACAAGATGACAGGGTGTGTGCTGTACGGACTCTATGACAAGATGACAGGGTGTGTGCTGTACGGACTACCCGACAAGATGACAGGGTGTGTGCTGTACGGACTACCCGACAAGATGACAGGGTGTGTGCTGTACGGACTCCCCGACAAGATGACAGGGTGTGTGCTGTACGGACTCCCCGACAAGATGACAGGGTGTGTGCTGTACGGACTCCCCGACAAGATGACAGGGTGTGTGCTGTACGGACTCCCCGACAAAATGACAGGGTATGTGCTGTACGGACTCCCCGACAAGATGACAAGGTGTGTGCTGTACGGACTCCTTGACAAGATGACAGGGTGTGTTTGTAACAGTAAATTATTTCTGAAGGGTGGCAAACTACTTCTTTGCTTTGATATGCTTTATATCTAAACCCAATTGAATTCAATTAATAAATTAACTAGACAGTTATGTTGTAAGCTTCAATCTTATTCTTGTGCCTTTTAAGCCCCTAACGGAGCATAGGCCCTCAACCAACTCATGTCAAGTCTTTAAAGTCAAGGCAGCTCTCCCCATGTCCTCCCCATCTTTCTAACTTCATTCTTCAGCTCACTTCTTCATGTGTTTTTTGGCCTTCCTTTATTCTTATGATCTTGTGGGTTCCAGTGCAAAGACAGTATAGTAAAAAAATTTTCCGGTTTTCTCAATGTGTGTCCTATCCAACGCCAGCGTCTTTTCTTCACCTCTTGGTCTACTGGAGCTTGCTTAGTTCTCTCCCAAAGCTCTGTTTTAGTTATTCTATCAGACCATTTAATTCCCTTTATTCCGCACAGGCACCAGTTAATGAATGAATGTTGTTTTTCTGTAATTGCCTTAGTTGTTCTCTATGTATCTCCTCCATATAAAAAGTACTGATTTGACATTAGAACTAACAATTTTAAGTTAAGTATGTCTTTAAATTTATCAGTACAGCTGGCTAAATGTTAATCTTCACCCCGGTGGTTTCAATAATTTAATTGTATTAAGTTTTAAAATCTAATTATTCTTGTAAATTCTACAAATTCTTTGACTTTTGTATGTTCTGTGATCATGTTTTAATAACCTTCACTACAGTAATATTAATTTTAATCCATTCTGTAGTTTTGTGTCAATGTAATTTGTTCTATAAATTAAATTATCTTTAAATGTTATGAAGTTAAATTACCCTTAATAGATTTTATATGTTTTTGTTGTAATAGTTCTATTATCAAATTAATTTGGGTGAGTTCTAAAGCTTTTACTGTTTGAGGCTTCAT